TTTGAACCCCCCACCTTAGGTGTATGTGGCTGGCGCCTTAGCCGGTTGAGCTATAGGTGCTGAGCCAGAAATAAATATTCTTAAAAAAGTTTTTTATGGTTAAAAAATAACCATAAAACTATTTATTTATTTATTTTTATTATTGGGGATTCATTGAGAATTCAAAGAACTAGGTTACACTAATTGCATTTGTCAAGCAAAATCCCTCTTATAAAAGTGTTCAAAAGTATATTTAAAAATATTATTCATAGTAGAAAAATGTATTCAAAGATGCCCATAATAAGACTATTTAATTTGATAAAAGAAAAATGATTAACAATAAGACTAAATTAAATATAGCATGTTAATATAAAAGAGTATTATAATTATAAGGTAAAAAGATGATTGGCTAGAGACATTGCTTACTGGACCATCTGGGAGGGAAAGAAATTTTAGATAAAGGAAAGGGGAGGGAAGACACAAGATGGCTGACATAGACATTAGCTGCTGGATCATCTCAGAAAGAAAGAAAAGTTTTACATGAAAAAGAAGAAAAACCAAACAAACATAGATTGTCAAACATGATTGTTTTCTGAGAAAAGTGCCACAACCTATGAAAGATTCCATAGGAAGAAGCTGTGGAGCAGAACAAAAGGAACAAGATATAGGCAGAAGACAACCCCTGAAGATTGGTGTTCAGTAAAAAGGGTAAGTGGAGTGGTTTATTTCTCTCTTCCTAACATCTCTGGCAGTAAGCTGGCCTCTGAACTCCTCACAAGCCCAAAAGCTAATGCTTTTAGAGCATTGGGAAGTCTTCCTGAACACAAAGCACCAGCCTGTCAGCCCCTGATGGGGTGCTTCCTGTCACCACAGACTTGAGATGAGAGAGCAGGTGCTATATTTCTTATTCACCCACTGTGAATGTTTGTCCTTCTTAGAGGACTTCAGCTCCCAGTTTTCATATTGCTTGTTCCTACACAGACATTCCCACACTCTGGCCAAGACTCTAGGAGCCACAAAGAACTTGTGGGCTCCAGGATTTGTGTGACCTCAGAGTCTGGACATTCTAGGCAGGCTAAAGGGATAGACATGACTACAGTATTAGCTTTCCTCCATACAGAGTCTTTTCTTCCCCTCCCCCTTCCCCATTGGCTACTGCTAAGAGAAAAAGTTGAGTCAGGGCTTTCAGGAGCTGATGCTCTCCCGGTTGGTGCATACACCACAGTGGGGCTTCCATGGAGAGAGGGGCTCAAACTTTTTATATTAAAGACTTGTGGAAGACTAAGAGGTGTGTGGACAGTGAGCACCCTGCTTACTGGCCCTTCCTGGTGCTGCTTGCCTCGCTGCTCCCTCAGAGCAGGGTATATAGCAGAGGAACATCAAATCTGCATGAGCATCCTATAGGCAACTCAAGACAGGGACCCTTCTCCCTGTAATGATTAAGGGATAGATCTTTTGAGACCCAGTGACAGGCTTATAGGCCAGATCCTATAACCTCAGGACTCCATTGTGTTGCTTGGGGACATGGTAGGGAGATTTGTGAACTAATCTCAGCACAGTCCATGTGGGAAGACTAGGAGGAGAGTGTAGTGTGGGTCCCAACTGTGGTGTACTCACAGAGCAAACGTCTCCTTCCCCCCGCCCCAGGGCTGCAATGTCAACCCCGTGTGGGATCCTAGACAGTAAAGCCCCAGCTGTACCACCATCCTAAAGGAACTCAGCTAGTTTGAACTCCTGCTTGCTGGCAGATTCTAGAGGGCGACTAGAGTTGGGGGAGGAGGAAGAAGAGCAAATCCAGCTCAAAACAGCCATATTGTGAATATCAGATGACTCACCTCCACAAGCAGACTTTCTGAATGGTTGTGGCCAGCTCAGCCCCTCCTCGAGGCTTTCCCTAGAAGCCTGGGAGTGGATCTTTGACCCCTGATGCAACAGTTACCTCAGCATTTGTAAAGCCTGAGGGTAAGCTCATGCAAGCCATCTCTGCCCAGCTCATTCCTACACCAGACCCTGTAACTGCAGAGAATAAGGAGTCACCTGGAAGTTCCAGACCTCCACCCTCAGCCTGGGGCATTCCTGTGGGGCTAGAGCCAGTCACAATATCCCAGAATAAAATTCAGCTTGTTTGTTCTGGTGTGCTGGCAAATATCACCTACTGACAGGGAGGTCATTTTGTACAGCCCCTTACAACATATACTGACTCAATTACATAGGGTGTTGTTGATCCTTACACACAAGTGCTGCCTATATCTTAGAAGATAACTGGGCATAAAAATACAATTCACACTTGTTAATAAAACCCCAGAGCTGGCTCAGGGCCTGTAGCTCAAGCGGCTAAGGTGCCAGCCACATTCATCTGAGCTGGCGGGTTCAAATTCAGCCCGGCCCACCAAACAACAATGATGGCTGCAACCAAAAAATAGCTGGATGTTATGGCAGAAGCCTGTAGTCCTAGATACTTGGGAGGCGGAGGCAGGAGAATCACTTGAGCCCAGGAATTGGAGGTTGCTGTGAGCTGTGATGCCATGGCTCTCTACCCAGAGCGACAGCTTGTGGCTCTGTCTCAAAAAAAAAAAAAACAAAAAAACAAAAAAACAAAACAAAACCAAAAAAACCCACCTCATCTCCTCAATGTTTTCCTGCAACCAGCCCAGTTTTTCTCCCTCCCTTATGTGCTCTTTATCACCCAGTTTGATTTAGCCTTTCTGGCATTTTGCAGGGATAGGAGGAGTAGGAAGAAATGTCACATTGGTAAATTTTAAATCTTAATGCACACATGGAATAAAATGGATATGCGTGAGCAAAGGAGGGAGCAGAACAAAGCAATGGGGACATGTGGAAAGGAATTCTCCAATACCTCCTGCCAAGTCTGACTTTGCTCCTGGCCCAAACAATACACTACTAAGCCATAATCACCTTGGGAGCCACCTGTTCCTCCAAAGGGGATAATATGTAGTTATTAAGAACAAAGTCTTTGAAGTAAAACCCTGATGACACCTCTACCAGCAGTGTGACCTGATCAGGTTACTTAGCCCTCTGTGCCTTAGTTTCCTTTTCAACAAGATGGAGATGATAATAGCCAAAAAATAGGCAGGTGTTGTGGTGGGAATCTGTAGTCCCAGCTACTCGGGAGGCTGAGGCAAGAGAATCCCTTAAGCCCAGGGGTTGGAGGTTGCTGTGAGCTATGATGCCACAGTGCTCTACCCAGGGCAACAGCTTGAAGCTCTGTCTCAGAAAAAAAAAAAAAAAATCAGACCCCAGAGGTGGAGAAAGGGTTAAAAAGATCTCCATTGAGCTGGAAAATATTCTCCTTAGTAAAGTATCTCAGGAATGGAAAAAAAAATATCCAATGTACTCAGTACTACTGTGAAACCAATTTATAATCACTCATACTTGCATATGAAAAATGAAACACAACTATAGCTTAGGGTGAAGGAGGGAAGGGAAAGGAGAGGGGAAGGTAGGCAGGTCGGCTAATAGAGGGAGGGTTGGTAGGGGGACCATAACTGTGGAGCATATTGCAAGTACAAGTTGGATCTATCAGGTGTAAATGTCTTAATCCTGTAATTGGGTAAAAGTGGTGAAGGCTATGTTGTTCAGTAGGATGTAAGCATTCCAATTTGTACAAATAATCAACATATTGAATCCTATAATGGCATAAATGTACTTATGATCTATGTACAGAAGACTTAATAAAAAAATAGATCTCCATCCTCCCTTTTAAAAGAGAGATAATGACTTTGCCCATACATAGCTCTCCCCTGCTACACCCTACAAAAAAAATAGCAACTGTGAAAACCACCACATTGGCTTGGTGCCTGTGGCTCAAGTGGCTAAGGTGCCAGCCACGTAAACCTAAAGTGGTGGGTTAGAATCCAGCCCAGGCCCGCCAAACAACAATGACGGCTGCAACCAAAAAATAGCAGGGCATTGTGGTGGGCGCCTGTGGTCCCAGCTACGCGGGAGGCTGAGGCAGGAGACTTGCTTGAGCCCAGGAGTTGGAGGTTGCTGTGAGCTGTGATGCGACAGCACTCTACCCAGAGGGACAGCTTGAGGCGCCTGTCTCAAAAAAAAAACCCAAAAACCCACCACATTAAGGATATCTATAACCAAAGGCATGCACCCAGAATCTAGATTGTAATCAAAGCATCCACAAACAAAACCAAAGGTTCTTATTCAACAGATGACACAGATTTTCATTTACGAGTGAGGGGAGTAAGCCCCATCGAAACAAGAGAA